GGGGGGGGGGGATGGGAGAGAAATCAGAATTCTCCTCCCCCCAAAACAAAAACTTGATGGAGAGAAATAAAAATAAAAATAAAATTTACTGGGGGTGTCCAGAGCCCTGGAATTCCCGGCATTCCCGGGACCTCAGCACTCATCCTGGAGCGGGACTGTCCCGGATCGGGTCAGAATCCCAGGATTCCTGCAGGATCTGCTCCCCCTCCCAGCCCCGGGGAGGGGGGGTTGGTCTCGGGTGTCCCTTGGAATTCTGGGAATTCCTGAAAGAGTCTCAGAGCTCATCGCGGGCGGGGCTGTCCCGGAGCAGGTCGGAGTTCCGGGATTCCCGCGGGATCGTGACCCCCCCGGGCCAGGGCGACTCGTCCCAGAGCGTGGGGGTCTCGGTGTCGCTCACGTATCCCGCGTCCCCCGTGTAGTGCGTCGGGAAGAGCAGCAGCGGCTCCGCGGAAAAGGCCACGAGATCCCGGCGGGAGAAGTGCCGGGAATAGTCAGAGCTGGGGGGGAATCAGGGAAAAGGGGTGAGAAATACACGGAAAATGAGGTGGAAAGGATGAGAAATCCTGGAAAACCACAGGAGAAGTGCTGGGAGAAGCTGGAGGAGAGAGAAAACAGGATCCCGTGTCCCTCCCTTATCCTTCCATGGAAGGGGTCCCGGTGTCCCAGGAGGATCTGAATTCCCGTGTCCCTCCTGTGTCCCTGTGTCCCTGTATCCCAACATCCCATGTCCCTGTATCCCGAGTCCCTCACAGTGGGTGCCGGTCGAACATGATGGGCAGGAATTCATCCACCGGGATCATCTTTCCCAGGGGTTCTGCCTCCAGCAGCTTCCTGGCCCCGCTCAGGGACAGGGCATATCCCAGCGTCCAGTAGGAATATCCCGCCTCCACCAGGTTCCGGACACCGGGAACGGGGCGCTCCGGGCGCTCCGGGTGCAGCCGCTTCCGGCCCAGGTAACTGAGGGAGGAGGAGGAGAAGAGGGATGAGGGAAGGAAGGGTGGGATGGGGATGAGGATGAAGGCCCCAGACTCACATGAGGTCCCAGGGGTTGGGATGAGGATGGGGATGAAGGCCCCAGACTCACATGAGGTCCCAGGGGTTGGGATGAGGATGAGGAGGGGGATGAAGGCCCCAGACTCACATGAGGTCCCAGGGCGTCCCGGCCTCCTCCAGCTCCTCCATGAGCTCCGTGAGGCGCCGGCGGAAGAAGATCTCGAAGCGCAAATCGTCCTCGAACACCAAGGACTTGCGCAGCCCCCGCGCCGAGATCTGGGAATGATCCCCATCCAGGGCCATCCCGGGAGTCAGCTCAGCTCTCCCCTGCCTGCCTCCCGTTCCCTGCATTCCCTGGCAGTCCCAGACCCCCCTGAATCATCCCCAGACCCCCCCGACCACCCCAGACCTCCCAGATCCCCCTCACCTCCTGCCAAACCTGGCAGTGGCTGAGGAAGCAGCTCAGCTCCCCCGTGCCTGCCTCTCTCAATTCCCTGGATACCCCTGGATCCCAGTTCCCTGGATACCCCCAGAGCCCCACTGAGACCCAGACCCCCCAAGGACCACCCAGACCCCCCTCACCTCCTGCCAGACGCGGAAGTGGCTGAGGAAGCAGCCCACCTCCCCCCGGGTGAGGGGCCGCCCGTGGAAGGGGTCCCGGTATCCCGGGAGCATCCGGATCCCCAGCGCCTCCACCTCGCTGCTGTTCAGGGCCCTGCGGAGCCAGGGAGGCTTCCAGAGGGGGATCCCTTGGGAAAGATTCCCCCTGGAGACCCCCCCCGGGAGCCCCAAACTCACCGACCGTCCACGGCCTCCACCAGTTTGCAGGAAATTCCCTGCTCCTGGAGCGTCCGGAGCATCCGCGCCCGGCGGTCGGAGCGGCGCTGCAGGTTGATCAGGAACACCTGGGAGGGGGGAATTTGGGAATATCCACCCAAATCCAAATGGGAATGGGAGAATCCACCCAAAATACACAGGGGAATGGGATAAACCACCCAAAGTCAGTAGGGGAGTGGGATAATCCACCCGAAATCCAGAGGAGAGAGGGATAATTCACCCAAAATCCAGAGGAAAAGTGGGAAAACCACCCAAAATCCAGTGGGGAACGGGGTAATCCAACTGGAATCCAGAGGGGAGGGAAGCAACATCCAGCAGAAAAGCGGGAAAACAAGCCAAAATTTGGAAGGGAAGGGGGAAAAATGACCCCAAATCCGAAAGGGAAAAGGAATCCCATCCCAAAATCCCAAGGGAATGCCACACTCACCTCATCAAAGCCCATCTTGTCAGGGACCTTGGGGGGCACCCACACATGGGGGGAGGGCTCGGCCGGAGGGAGCTTCACTGGGAATGGGAGAATCCCACTGGGAATCAACCCCGGAGCCTGGAGGGGACACTCCCAATCCCAAATATCCCCATCCCACCAGGAATGAATCCCTGAGCCTGGGTGGGACATTCCCAATGCCCAATTTCCCATCCCAGGAGTCTGGGGATGACTCTGTGGGGTTCCCCCATTCCATGCCAGGCTCCCAAGGCCCCGGATGCACGTGGATCCCGCCCCTCACCCATGATCTCCAGCTGGACGTGCAGGAAGTTGTCGGCCTCGTCTCGCAGGGAGCTGTGGGAGCGCAGCGGGACCGGCAGGAACCCGAACACCTCCCGGTTACTGACGAACATCTGGACCCCTGGAACGGGATCAGGAATGGGATTGGGATGGGCTCAGCAACCCAAGAAACACCTCCTGGTTACTGACGAACATCTGAACCCCTGGAATGGGATCGGGAATGGGGGAGCACCCCAGGAATGGGGATGGGAACAGGGGGTGTCACTCCTGGAATGGGATCAGGAGGTAGATGGGGGTCACCCCTGGAATGGGAATCAGGGGCTCACACTGGGAATGGGGATGGGAACAGGAATAGGGGGTCACCCAAAGCCAAAGCTGGCGCAAAGTTGAGCCCAGCCCCGAGCTGGGTTCAAGGGACTGAAGTCAAGCACAGCCTGATGTCAAGTCCAGCCCAAATCCACCCAAATCCCACCCTAAACCCACCCCAAAGCCCAGCCCAAAGCCAACCCAAATTCCACCCAAAGCCCAGCCCAGCCCAGCCCTGGCACTGACCCGCCCAGCCCAGCCCAGCCCATCCCAGCCCAGCCCAGCCCAGCCCAGCCCAGCCCAGCCCATCCCAGCCCATCCCGTCCCGTCCCATCCCAGCCCATCCCATCCCATCCCAGCCCATCCCAGCCCAGCCCATCCATCCCATCCCAGCCCATCCCGTCCCGTCCCGTCCCATCCCATCCCATCCCACCCCATCCCATCCATCCCAGCCCATCCCATCCCATCCCATCCCAGCCCATCCCATCCCATCCATCCCATCCCATCCATCCCATCCAGGCCATCCCAGCCCATCCAATCCCATCCCATCCATCCCATCCCATCCCATCCCAGCCCATCCCACTGACCCGCGTGCCGGCAGGCGAAGGCGAACACGATGATGTCGTCGAAGGCGCCGCTGTAGCCGGGGGGGGGGCGGGTGGAAGGCGAGACCCCCCGAGCGCTCCCGGCGCAGATCCAGCAGGAACGTCGAGTGCACCATCGGCACCGCGAAGCAGCCGCGGCGCTCCCGCCGGCGCAGGGGCAGGTACGCGGGGGTGCGGCGGTAATAACCCTGGGAATGGGAATAGGAATGGGAATAACACTGGGAATTACACCAGGAATGGGGCAGGTATGCAGGGGTGTAGTGGTAATAGCCCTGGGAATGGCACCAGGAATGACACTGGGAAAAAGGAATGATATTGGGAACAGGGAATGGGACCAGGAATGGCACCGGGTCCCAAATCTCCCCTGGGGGGTTTCTCCCTCCCCTGGGGATCTCTCCTCACCTAGGGAGTCCCAAACCTCCCCCAGGGGTCCCTCCTCACCTAGGGGGTCTCTCCTCACCCAGGGAGTCCCAAATGTCCCCTGGGGGTCCCTCCTCACCCGTGGGTCCCTCCTCACCTGGGGGGTCATCCCGCACCAGAAGTTGGAGTAGGCGGCGCGGGAGTCGAGCATCGGGGCCACCACGGTTCTGTTCTCGGCCATCAGCAGCCCCAGCGTGTCTGGGTTCGTCAGCACGTTGTCGGCATCCAGGAACTGGGGGCACAGGGGGCAGGGGGGCACGGGGTCACGGGGCACCCCCTGAGACCCCCGGGGTCAGAGGGGCACCCCATGGGACCCCCAGGGCACCCTGGGATCAGTGGGGGGACCATCCCAGGGCCCCCCCCCCCGTGGGGGGGCCCCCCCGCCCCCCCCCCCCCAAATTCGGGAACCCCCCTACCAGCAGGTAGTCGGCCCACATGGCCCGGGCAGCCTCGAGGGCCTCCTGGCGCAACCTCATCACGTGCTCGTAGCGGGAGGGGCTCCAGTGTTTGGGACCCTCCTCATCAGGGTACGACCTGGGGGGGCATGGGGGGGGCACGGTGAGACCCCCCAGCACCCACCCACGGCCTGGGGACACCCGGAGAGGGGGAACACACAGCCCAGGGAGACCCTCCAAAAACTGGGGCACTCACAAGGACCCCCCCCCAAAACCGGGGAAATCACAGGGACTCCCCTCCCCAAATTTGGGCACCCCCAGCCCATGGGGATCCCCCGAAACCTGCATATTCATGGGGACCCCCCCAAGCCTGGACATTCACAGGGATGCACCCCCAGCCCAAGGGGACCCTCTGGACCCCCAGAGCTCCCCCTGAGCCCCCCCAGGGCCCCCCCCGAGCTCCCCCATCCCTGACCGTGGCTCCTCCTGGTGCCTCCACTCCACCCGGTGGTAGAGCCCCCGGACCCGACCCAGCCACTCCCGCAGCAGGGCCGACGTGTTGTCCACGCTGTGATCCACGGCCACCCTGGGGGGACACGAGGGGTCAAACACGGGGGCGGGTCACACGTGGGGGGTCACACACGGGGGGGTCATACACGGGTTCCCGTGTCCCCAAGCCCCCCCAGACCCACCAGAGCGCCATCCTGTCCTTGGGGTCCCGTGTCCCCACGGTGTCCCCAAGCCCCCCCCAAGCCCCCCCAGACTCACCAGAGCGCCATCCTGTCCTTGGGGTGCCGCAGCCTCTCGAGCCCCCCCAGCACGAGGGGCAGCGCGTGGGCCGCGTTCCGCGCCAGCAGCGCCACGGCCACGCGCGGCGGTCGCAGCGGCGACTCGGGGTTCCAGCGCTCCTCGGGGAAATAGGCGGCGGCGGGGCCGGGCCCGAAGCCGAGGAGCCCCCCGGGCCCCCCGGAGCCCCCCGGGCCCGGCCCCGGCAGCAGCAGCGGCAGCAGCAGCACCGCGAGCGGCCACAGCCGCGCCGCCATCTTGGGCCGCCCCCCCCCCCCCCCCTCACGCGCCCCCCCCCCGGGGACACGCCCCTCCCCGGGGACACGCCCCTCCCCGGGGACACGCCCCCTCCCGGGGACACGCCCCCTCCCGGGGACACGCCCCTCCCCGGGGACACGCCCCCAAGCCCCGCGGGGGGTTCATCCCCTGGGAAAACCCGACGGGATTGGGGGGGGGGGATGTTTTTCACGTGGAAAACAAGTTTGGGGGGTGTCTGTCATGGAAAACATCCCGATTTTTGCTCTGAGAGCTCCGGGAGGAGGAAGGGAAAGGAAAACCGCCAGGAAAAGAAGCAGCTGAACCTCAGGATCCTGGAACGGCTCCATGGGAACAGCTGGGAAGGAGCCCCACTGGATAAACATGGGAATCGCTGCTCAGAGGATAAAAAAACCCTGGAATTTCTGCCAAGGCAGCAAGGAATTCCAGCTGGGAACATCCCAGCCCCTCATCCCTGCCCCCCTTCATTTCCTCCAGGAAAACACGAAGTTCCACAGCAGCTCCTGAGGGGGAAGCGGGGCTGGGATTGATGGGAATTGGGGAAAGCTTCCCAAAAATCAGGCCCCTCAGAGCCTGTTTTATCCCCAAAAAAATCCCGGGATTTGGAATGGAGGGGGTGGATCCACCCAGAGCTCTGGGAGGAGCAGCAAAGACATGGGAATAAAGGCAAACAAATGGGAACAAACAGGGAATAAAGAGGAATATTCTGGGAAGCAGCTGGAGGAGGGCGAGGGAGTGACACAGAGCGGGATTGTGGCAGATGGAAAGTTTTGGGGATGAGGTTTTTTCAGGAGAGGGGCGGGACTTTGGCAGCAACTGCGGCAGGAATTAAAGGCTCTTTTCTGTGGAGAGAATTCCAGAGGGAAGGAGGTGGTGCCAGCGGGAGGAGCCGCGGCTTCTGCTCCACCAAAATCAGCGTTCAGCCCATTTTCCCTCCGTCCCAGCCCCCTCCCAGTCCATTCCAGCCCTTCCCATCCCTCTCCCAGTTCATCCCAGTTCATCCCAACCCCCCAGGTCCATCCCCGTCCATCCCAGAGCTCCCACTCCACTCCAGTCCATCTCAGTCCATCCCAGCTCTTCCCAGTCCATCCCAGCCCCTTCCAATCCATCCCAGCCCCCCCCCAGTCCATCCCAACCCTCCCAGTCCATCCCACCCCCCTCCCAGTCCATCCCAGCCCCCCCCAGTCCCTCCATCCCAGTTCCCAACCAGATTCCAAACCCTCCAGCACAAAACGATCCCGTCCCCGTTTGTGATTCCCACCCAGACCCCCCCAAATCCAAGGAATTCTGACACGGAAATTCACACTCAGCAAAGCACCGTTTGTTCCCAAAAACAGTCCAAAATCCCACGTTTTGGGACACAGCCTGTGGGATTCCCTATTCCTTGCTTGAAATGTCCTGGATCCAGCACCATCTCTATGCTCTGCAGTGCTTTGGGAATACTCAGCTCCTGGGCTGCTTGGAATGTCAGACTCAAATCCACTCATTCCAGCCCATTTTCCCCCCATTCCTCCCTCCCAGTCCCTCCATCCCAGTTCCCATGTGGATTCCAAACGCTCCAGCACAAAATCATCCTGTCCCCGCACATGATTCCAACCCCTAGCAAATCTAAGGAATTATTCCATGGAAAGCTCTGCAAAGCACCGTTTGATCCCACAAAAGAGTAAAAAATCCAATGTTTTGGGTCACAGCCCATGGGATTCCCTATTCCTGCCCGGAATGCCATGGATCCAGCACTGCCTCTACAATCCGGAATGTTTCTCCGTGGGAATACTCAGCTCTGGAATGTCACCAGGACTCATCTCTGGCTCTAAAACCTACAGTGGTTTAACCCCAGGGGGAACACCCAGCTCCTGGAATGCCGTGGATCCATCCCCAGCTCTACACTCCAGAGTGTTTTTCCATGGGAATGCTGAGCTCCGCGGCCGCTGCCTCATCCAGGAGCCAGCGCAGGCGCCCGGAGCGCGGCCGGACGAGGGCGGCGGGGAGGGGGGGCTCCTCCTTCCCCTCCAAAATCCGCTGTGGAGAGACAGGGAACGCGGTGTCCATCACCCTCCCAAACCCCAGATCCCGGGATCCTCCCTGGGAACGGGACACACCTTGAGCACGGGGGCCTTGGAGGCGCCGGTGGCCACGACCAGGACGCTCCGCGCCGCGTTCAGCACCGGCAGCGTCAGCGTCACCCGCGCTGGCGGCGGCTTCGGGGAGTCCTCGAGGGCAGCGACGATCTCATCCTGCTCCTGGGGGGGGAAACGTGGGAAAAGGGGGAAATCGTGGAGGAAGGGATAAACCACCCCAAAAACAGGGCAGAGACACCGGGGGGGGTCCCCAGGGACACCCATGGGGTGGCAACGGGGTCTGGGGGGGTGACAGACCCCCGGGGGAGTGATGGGGTTCCCAAGGGGGCTCACCTGGAGCAGGGGGTGCCCTGGGAACAGGGAGCAGGTGTGTCCATCCGGGCCCACCCCCAGCACCAGCAGGTCAAACACGGGAACCTCCTGCCCCGGGAAAGCCTGGGGGGGGACATGGGGTGAGGATGGGGGGGGACACACTCCCTGCAGACCCCTGGACTCCCCCAGAACCCCTTGTGGACCCTGCAGTTCCCCTCAGCTCTCCCAGCTCCCCTCCAGTCAGTCCTGATTCCCCCTGCCCCATTTTACCCAGTGCCTCCCAGTCCCTCCCAGTCTTCCCCAGTCCCTCCCAGTACCCCCAGTCCCCTCTCAGTCCCCTCCCAGTTCCCCAGTCCCCCCCCAGTCCCTTCCAGTGCCCTCCAGTCCCCTCCCAATCCCTCTTCAGTCCCCTCCAGTCCCCCAAGTCCCAGTCCCAGTCCCCCAGGTCCTGGTCCCCGTCCCGTACTCCCCGGAGCTGCTCCCCGTAGTCTCTGGCGGCGGCGGCGGGGCCCAGCCCGGGGGTCACCGACAGCACCCGCGGGCCGGGGGGGGGGCAGCCGGGGCAGCAGCTGGGCCTGGGGGGGCACAAGGGGGAGATCAGGGGGTTGGAAGGGGACACGGGGGGGGGTCAGGAGGGGAACATGGGGGGGCACAGGGGCGGCATTGGGGGGGTGACACGGGCCAGGGGGAGTCAGGGTAGGCCGGGGGGCTGGGGGGGGGGACGCGGCCGGGGGGGGTCAGGGTGGGCTCCATCCCCCCCCTCCACCCCCGTCCCCGTCCCCGCTCACCCGGTACGCGCCGCAGGTGCTCTCGGGGTGATCGGGCGGCACCAGCCGCTCGTCGCAGAAGGCCACGAGCCACTGCGCGGGGTCGGCGGCGGCGGGGGCCGCGCTGAGGGCGGGCGGCAGCTCTCGCGCCAGCAGCTCCACCAGGGAGCCCCCCGAGAGCCCCAGCGAGAACCGCCCGCCCTCCCCCTGCGCCGCCTCGGCCGCCGCCTCGGCCACGATCCGCGCCAGCGCCGGGCCGAGCTCCCGCGACGACGGGAACACGGACACGGCCGCCATGACACCCGCACCTGCCAAAGGCGGAAGTGGCGTCACCAGCGCGACGCGTTGCCTGGCAACCAGGCCCTGGGAGCGACTGTGAGGCGGAAATGACGTCACAAACGCCAAAGGTTGCCCAGCACAATCACAGAATCTGTCATAGAATCGCAATCTTAAACTGCACAGGGGAAGTTTAGATTGGATAATAGGGAGAAATTATTCACAGAGAGAGGGATCAGACATTGGAAGGGACTGCCTGGGAAGGTGGTGGAGTCACTGTCCCTGGAGGTGTTTAAGAAGAGCCTGGATGTGGTGCCATGGTCTGGGTTAGTTGATTCTATGATTCTGTAATTAGGTTGGAAAAGACCTCCAAGATCATCGAGTCCAACCTGTGACCCACCTCACCTCGTCACCCAGACCATGGCACCGAGTGCCACATCCAGTATCTTCTTAGAGAGATCCAGGGACTCCACCACCTCCCTGGGCAGCCCATTCCAGTGTTTGATCCCTCTCTCTCTGAAGAAATTCCTCCTGATGTCCAATCTAAACCTCCCCTGGTGCAACTCAAGGCTGTGTCCTCTGGTCCTAAAGCTGGGAGAGGACACCTTCCCCCACCCAGCTCCCTCCTGTCAGGGGGTTGCAGAGCCAGAAGGTCCCCCCCGAGCCCCCTTTTCTCCCGGCTGAGTCCCCCCCCCCTCCCCCCGCCCCCCCGACCCCCCCCCCCCCCCCTCCGGCATGGAAACAGTCCCTAGGGAGGTTAATGAGCCACTAATTAGTTGCTAATTAGCGCTGCCCTGTTAATCAGCGCCCCTGGGGGGGTGAACCGGCTCTGGGGGGAGATGGAGGAGCTGGAAAGACCCATCACTCCCCCCCAAGTTGTGGTTTTCCTGGGAATTCTGCTGTTTTCCTCAAAAATCTTCCTGGAAATTCCCCCCAGTTCCTGGGAAGGCTGGTGTTCACGGCACAGATCCATTGGAATTCCTGGGATCCAGAGGCTCACAGCCTGGCATTCCTGGCACAGATCCATTGGATTTCCTGGGATCCAGGGAGTGACAACCCAGCATTCCTGGCACAGATCTGTTGGATGTCCTGGGATCCAGGGGGTCACAGCCCGGCATTCCTGGCACAGATCTGTTGGATGTCCCGGGATCCAGGGGGTCACAGCCCAGCATTCCCGGAGCAGATCCGCTGGTGCATCCCCCGATCCAGGGGGACGTATCGGCCCCGCTGAGGGTCCAGCACAAAGAGCTGGTCGGGGACCAGCCGGGGGTCCCAACCCTCCGCCCGGAGACGGGTCTTCTGCAGCTTGAACGTCCCTGGGAGCGGGATTGAAGGGAATCAAAGGGAGAAAGGGAAAAGAAAAATGAAAAATAAAATGAAAAAAATGGGAAAAAAAAAAAAACAACCAGAAAAATAAGAACTTGAAATAGAAACACAAAAATAAAAAAAATAAAACTAAAAAATTAAGATTAAAAAATAAGAAACAAGAAAATGCGTAAAAATAAAAACTCCCTCCAGGCCACACCCCATCTGTCCAGGCCCCGCCCCATCTGTCCAGGCCCCGCCCCATCCCTCTAAGCCCTGCCCCAGCCCCGCCCATACCTGTGGTGTCCAGGTGTGGCAGCAGGCGCAGGAAGACGGGCCGGGCGTAGGGCGGCAGCACCGGCGTCAGCTGCTCGTACAAACCCCCCGGGTCCAGCCGGGACGAGGGGTCCGCGATGGCCGCCATGCCCGCCTTGCCCTCCACACCTGCAACGGGAACAGGAATGGG